ACTCGGCGAGAACACCTTAATTCATTTAACTGATTATATGATGAATTTCAAAATATGGCTCTATTTATAATACATGCTCACGCGAACTTCAACATCCGAATTTATCCTAACGTCTTAGAGTAAGGCTTTTGTTTTCCTATAGCCACCTTTTGCTGCCTGCTTAATATCGGTTTTCAAAACTGACTGTAAGTTTCTCCTTTTGAACTAAATGTACGCACTCGTGGCAGTCATTAAGTTAATTTTTGTTTAATAGTTGTGCATGTTGCGTTCTGGATAACCGAGTTCTGTTATCGCTAAGTAGCAGAATTACACTCTAAGCCCGGTCAGGCAAATTGAACTTTGTTGCTTTGTTTGTCGGTGTGAGGTTCGCGTAAAATCAAGTTTGTGAAACAGCGTACATAATAAAATTCTAATTTCATTTTCAGAAGCAAAGCTATTCGCTAAAACTGTTTGCTTTCTGCTATTTGTCCAATGAAAGACATGTTATATTTGTACATTCGCTCAATCTGTTGATTACTTCATAGTTTTTTTTTTTCTTTTTTCACGAATGAGTGCGAGTCAGTTTTTTCTGATTTCTTTTTTTTTGGATGCAATTCCACACTAATTTTTCAGCGAAAAGACAACTTAACCACAATAAAAAAAATTCGAATGATAAAGAAAGAAGAATATTTGCTTTTACACTCGGATGTCGAGTCCTTGATAATAAATGGTTTTAAACACATGCGCCTGTGATAGAACAAAGTCCAAATGCAGACTCTGGATAATATTCTAATTCCCTCTGTCTGTCGTACTTCTGTCATAATCTCTAAAATGAAATAAATAAAACCTAGCAGCCCGGCCTTCTATTTTTGCTCCTGTTCAAATAATCAATTCAACCTGTATTGTGCATTAACACAAAACCTGTTAACGGTAAGGTAGCGAACAACGGAAAACAACATTTTTCCCTTATAGCAATAAATAACATAAGCACTCTAAAGAGATTGAAGGAGAGTCTTATAAAACACTTGAAGTAAGTCTCATTGGTGAACATGACATTACTCTCATGAAAAATATTAATGTTGAAAATCTCACTGCTAATTTCTTGTCAGCTAATTTACCCAAAGTGCTGCCTGTAAATTAAGTGATCTAATTTTCCAGAACGTTTACCCTGACTACAGTTTAAGGTGTGCGCATATAAAGGTTTTTTTTTCCTTCTCTCTAAATCTGGTGATGTCGTACTATTTTAGCAAAATTGGTGCATGATTCTCAGTTAACACTAGATCATTTACCTTTGAGTGAACACAGCCTCTGGGTCGTTTGAGTGTGCACACAAAGCTAAACAGTAGAACAGAGAAATGAATGTTAGATTTAACATTAAAATCGATAAAAACAAAGAGTTCTAAAAGAAATTTAAACTTACATTGTTAAGTTCTCCAAGCTTGGAAAAAAATTCTCAGCAAGTTTTCTTTCCTTGACTTACTGACCACACTGTTTGTTACTTCCTTTGTTTATCTCGGAAAATTTTCGTCAGAACAAGTTTTTGAAACAATAGATTTGTTAGGTACACTTTTATTTTTCTATCTAACACGCAATGTTATTCGCTATGTATGAAGAACGGTTTGGTTAGTCGTGGATTTGTCCAATAGGATGAAGCTTTTTATTCTGTCACCTTTGCTCCTGCTGTAATGCAATATCAGACAAACCAAAGCCGTGAATCAATTCTTGTCTTTTTTTTTAAACTGGATAAGCAAAAAATAATTGAATCTTTGTTTAATATGAATGCCTGCTCAAAAATGAAAGCCAACAACTCAGAAATGCAACACATTCTATCCTTATACGAATACTTGTACTTTGAAAAGTGTTAGCCCCAATTGCAACAAAACTTGAAGTTATAAAGATTACTTTTTTATCAGCTCTCTTAGGCTACAGTGCAAGTCTGCTGTGGCCCTAAAGAAGGGCATAAAAATTACTCGTGGAATAATTACACTAGATTTAGATTTGAACACAGATCTGCTGACACCTATCAGTGAAACATCGAGTCACGTCATTACACTGTACATGAGGAAATCAACCACCTTTGGAAGTAGAACACAGTTCTGTTCTATCATTTTTTTTTTTTTGCAAATTTATATTTCTTTCTACGTATCAGGCAGCAGGGATATTCGCACAAAAGTGAGTGCAATCTACATAGCAAACCGCGAAAACTCGCTAAAAGTCACCCGTGACTATTAATATCTTTTGAAAATGTCTGTTTTGTCGCAAATATCTCCATTAATACGTTTCGCGTCATATTTGAAACGAATGAAAACAGAGAGCATTTACAAGCTTCCCTACTGAATTTGATAAGACAAATCTGGTGCAGAGAGCACAAAATTCTACTAAAGAATAGATTCCTCCGTCTTAGTGGCTTTCAAACTGAGAAAAATTATAACCGGTATATCACAGCGCATGTTAGGGCACAGGTCTTCGTTTGCTTGAATCGAGGAAGAGACTCGACAGACTTACAGATGAAAACCAAAATGATTTCAACAAAGGTTGTTGTTTAGCAATATCAACAACTGCTGTAATTGTGCAGAATCCTGGCTTTTGTGGAGAATTAGTTATGTTATCATTGAAGAATTGTTATTTCCTACATTGTAAAATGTAATAAATGCAAGAAGTAAGAGCCAGAAAACGTTGATTTATCCTCGATTACCTGACAGCATAACAGTGTTTGCATTCCTGCAAACATTTTACATTAGAACGTGCTTTGGAATAGCTTCAATAATTTTAGGGCCAGCTGAAGAATGTAAGTGCCAGACTTCCGTTAAGTTGGCTTCAAACGAGAATACCTGGACTCCAAGAAAGACTGAAACATAGCGGTGATGAATCAATCGAAACTGTTTTGTTATTTATATATTCAACTGCCTGGCTTTGTCTTGATATCAAAAAAAAATAGAGGCTCACTTGTTTTGAATGGGAGGAAAACTCTTGCTAAAAGCAGTCAATTTACAAACGGAAAACAAGACAAAAACGAAGCGAAACGCGGCTGACATGCAGAAAATCAAATTTAACACATGAGGAAATGCATATAAAGATTCAGCGTCTTTTGTTAGTGTCTGAAATCGTTTTTTTGGTGTTGATCACCAACTGAATTATGAATTGCTTGAACACACGCTCGCCTAGTTAGCATTAACTGATTCCGAGAAGACATCGAGAAGTACTTAAAGGAAAAATAAACGAGCGACACCCATCATACCTGTAAACACTTCCTGAAGTCTTTGTGCTTTGATATGGATATATCGAACCGCGCGCCTGAAAATGTTTTCTTCATTTTGAAACCTCGAACTAGAATCTTGTCTCTACCAGTTCGCCATTGAACACGAATCCATTGTTTTGAATAACTTCAGTTCATTACTGACACTTCTGGCAAAATTGATTGCGTTAATTCTTCCCTTAATCCAATGAAAGATGTGATTTTTGGCTTTGTGTCGTTTGTTAACTTCAAAACGTCAAGTTAGTCGAATATCGGCGAGACTGGTTAACGATAATCAACAATGAAATTTGTTTACTTTAATCATTTCCGATCTTACACTTTATAATTATGCAGTTTCAACTATTTGTTTTGTGCATTCGTAATCGTAAATACTGAAATTAAACAAAATAACGGCTTCCGCCAGAACGACGTCACAATTGAGGCGCAAAGGGTTTGATACTTTATCAAAGCAAGCAGACAACAGGAAAAATGTCCTATCAAAAAGGTCCCTTGGATGTATGATTCTTCGACCACAAAAACTGTGTTGTACACCACCTTGACTATTACCCAGATGCATTTAACGATTTGCGCGAGGACTAAATTTCGGTGAGTAGAACTGAAAATATTAATCCCGTAGACTGCGTACTTACTCTCGCTCTAGTGGTATTTAGAAATGAAAGTCATCAGGTTCAGAAGCGAAACAACGTTCTGAAAAGTATTTCTTTTGTGTTTTCTTTGATATGGATACTTTTAGAACTCTGTTCGCGATTGAAAAACTTCATTTTGGTGTTATGATTGCTAATTAATAGATAAAGTTGACGAGGCCGAAACGAATCGACTACACCTCATAGAACTAGAGAGCGAACAATCTAAATTGTTTGAGTAGAATTCTAACTAAATTTCCTTCAGTTGACGATTACCAACGGCATTTCGCAACGTAGTATCAATCTCAAGCTTTAGCAAAATCGCGCGGACTAAATTACTATTGAAACTTAATTGCAGTTGTGCAGGGGCACTCATCAGTTCATTGGAAAATTTTGAGGTTTTAATTCGCGTAATGGTCAATTTCCTTTCTTTGATGT